GGGAGGTTTTGAGGGGAGTCCCTGCTCTGGGGGGGCCTCCCTTAGGCCGCTGTGGGTGGTTTGGGGGGGTTGTTTTGGGCTCTGGGGTCTGTTTGCGGGAGGGGTGCGGGGGGTCTCGGGGGTCCGCGAGGCTCTGGGCTGAGGGGCTGGTTTGGGGGGGCCTTGGGGGTCCACGAGGCCGTGTCGGGGCTGAAGGGCTGTTTTGGGTGGGTTTGGGGAGTCCACGAGGTTCTCTTCGGCTGTTTTGGGGGGGTCTTGGGGGCCCACGAGGCCCTGTTTGGGCCGAAGGGCTGTTTTGGGGAGTCCTTCCTGCCCTGGAGGAAATTCCAGGCCTGTGGGGCTTGTTTGGGGGATCCCTGCCTGTGAGGAGGAGGTTTGGGGGCTTTTCGTTGTCCGTGGGGGGCCCTTTTCTGATTCGGGGCTGGTTTGGGGGTCCCCCGTGGCTGTGGGGACCCCCCCAAGACTGGCTTGGGACTGCAGCCCTTAACCTGCAGGGTTGGGGTGTCCCTTCTACCTGCAGGGCTGGTTTGGGGGGGTCCCGACTCACCTGTGGGGTTTGTGTGGGACGAGAGAACCCCAAGGGGATGGTTTAGGGGAGGGAGGACAAGTCCCCCCTCATACGTGTTTTTTTTGGGGTGTTCCGGATGGGAGGGCATTTCCTGTGGGATTGGAGCAGTGGGAGGACAAGGAGACTGCAGAGGGGTGGGTGTGGGTGAAGGTGGGGGGGTTGGAGGGGTGTGTTTGAGGGAAGGGGGTGTTTTGTGTGGAGGGGGGAAGACTTTGAGAAAAGCTGGTGGGTTGTTTGGTTTTTTTTTTTTATTTGAGGGGGGGGGGGGGAGGAGGTCTCCACTTGTGTAAAACCTGGAGATGGTCTGTAAAAGGAGGAGGTTTTTTTTCCTGTGGTGAGAAAACGGAGGGGGGAAGAGCTGGGAGAAATTAGTGGGGGGGGGGATATTTCTCAGGCTGGAGGGGGCCATGTGGGGCGGGAAAGGAAGGGTGTCCAGGATGTGGTGGTTTTCCTGGGGTTTGAGTGGGGGCAGGGCTGCGAACGCCCGGGCCGGTTTGTCAGGATAAAGGGCTGCCCTGTGGGATTTGGGGCTGGAAGAGGGGGGGAGCCGATGAATTCTGGCACAGGCAACGCCTGGAGAAAGTCCTGGTGTGGCCGAGGGTGCTCTGAGAGTGACCTGCAGGAAGGGCTGAGTCAGGGAGGGGTGGATTTATTGGGAATGTCAGCTCGGGGCGTGCTTTGGTGGGCGAGGAGCCCTGACCCCGGGAGCTGAGGTTCGGGCTTTGGAGCACAGGTGAGGCCGTGGGCTGGGAGGGGTTTGGGGCAGGGATGGGGGTGGAAGTGGCCTCGCTCCTGGTGGTTCCTGGGTGTGATTAGTCACGACCTGTGTTCTCTCTCGGGGCAGCCTGAGCTCGCTGGTTTCGGGGCGAGGAGGAGGAGGAGGAGGAAGGCACAAAGTTGGCTTTTAAAGGCTCCTGTATAAATGGAAACTCGCCTCGAAACTCCCCGAACGAACCAGGCAGGGTCTGACTCAGAACTGCAGTTAGTACTTAAAGGAGAGAAAAAAAGAGAAACCCACCACTAGCAGCAGCCAGAAAACTCTATCTCCTTATGACTCAACGTGTAGAAATACTTGGATTTAATCAACTCAGCTGCTGGAGAGGAAAGATCAGTTGGAGTTAAGGTAGGAGTGGGGATGCAGAGCCAGGAATGGGGGTCTCACACAGGGTCTAGCTGTGATGTTTTTATGTACATCTCTCATAAACTTCAGGGATTTGTTTCAGGTTTAATTCCCTGCAGGTATCCACCCCTCTCTTCCACACAGAACGTTTTCCTGTCTCGGGGCAGAGCTGAGCTGTGCTCCCAGGGCTTCCCTGGCTCCTGCCTGGACTTTGCCCCCCTGGAATGCCGTGTCAGTCACCTGTGGTGAGGCCTGGGAGGGAGAGCCGGGTGATTCATGGCTCGTGGAAAGGCTGCTGGCTTTCAGGAGGATGAGCCACACCTGGAAAGGGAGGCCTTGAGATGGTGTAGGGCCAGCAAGGGGCTTTTTACAAAAGCATGGAGTGACTGGACACAGGGAATGGCTTCCCACTGCCAGAGGGCAGGGTTAGATGGGATACTGGGAAGGAATTCCTGGCTGTGAGGGTGGGCAGGCCCTGGCACAGGTTGTCCAGAGAAGCTGTGGCTGCCCCTGGATCCCTGGAAGTGTCCAAGGCCACGTTGGAGCAACCTGGGCTAGTGGAAGGTGTCCTTGCCCATGGCAGGGGATGGAACTGGATGAGCTTTAAGATCTCTTCCAACCCAAACCACTGTGGGACTCTGTGATTCCAAATGGTTTATTGTAGGTTGTGTATTTTGACAATATTTCTGGAGGGAAAACACGTTGTCAGTGATGCGCTGTTCCTGCACCGGGCAGAGAGGAGCTCGGTGTTGTTTGGTATCTTTGGATTAGTTGGACAGCTGGAGGTTTGAAACAGCTCTGTGTAAACATTGGAAAACAGCCCCGATGGCTTGAGGGTTTGGGCTGGAATTGCTGTTTTTGGTGCAGGTGAGCTGCAGAGCTCCCTGGGCTGCCACCTCTTCAGGCCAACGTGTATCACAGGGGTATGAAACACCTTCTCAGGGGCTGTTTGTTTTGGTGTCATCTCACGGCTCGTTTTGCTGATTGCGAGGGGATAAGTGAGCTTTAAACCTCTTGATCCTTTCTCAGTTGTAGCACTTGGGGACTGGGGGTTTCTGGCTGCATTCAGGGCAGTGTGGTTTTGTTGCCCCTCGTTTCTCTGTGCTCGGCGCTGAAAAGCCCCGAGTTCTCTCTCCCTGAAAATCGAGCCCTGCCCCAGAGAATGGCCTGTGGGCTGGAACAATTGGGACTTTGTGGACATGCAGTGAGATCTATCAGTCAGCTCCAGGCTCAGTTGTCAGCCTGCCTTTAACTGCCTCGGGAGCAGGGAAGAGGAGCCAGCTCCCATTTTTCCAGCGGAGGTTGATGGCACGTTCAAATAAGTGAGATGAGTAAGATGCAAGTAATTCAACTCTGCAGCTTCTGTCTTTCTGTGTGGTTCGAAATTGCTTTTAAGTCCTGCTTGACTCGTTAATGGGGTTTTGGTGGTGGTTTTGATATTTCATCTGAAAGTGTGAGAATATTTAGTTGCTGGTGATCAGGCAGGACCGTGTTTTCAAAGACCAGCAGTTGATCCAGCTTAGGCAACTCAGCATTCCCATTTTTAGGAATGAGTTATTAGCGTCACGTATTCACAAAGTGTTGTCTGAAGTAATTTTTGATTTTACTTAAATATAATTCTGTGACTTAAACAGGACAGTAGCTTAAATTTCTTTTTTTTCGTAGCAGGGGGCCTTTTGGTTTCGACTTCAAACAATTTTAGTAACTTTGACTTCAAACACTTTTAGGAACTTCAAACTTTTTGAGCATGGCATGCAAATAACATTCAAATCTGCCCTCTGAAGGATTTTTAAAAACTTAAGTGGTGGGTGGAGGAAGGTGTTCAAATAAAACCCCTGTGTCAGAACAGCATTTTAAGGACGAAACCTGTTCTGTTTCACAGGAAGGAGAGGCTGTGGAGCATAAAACATAAAGGCTGTCAGTCCTTTCTGGAAGGTCTAAGGCAGTGCCCAGTCACTTCCCACTGTCTCCAGGGTGATGATCTCTCCATCCATGCCTGGATATAGAGCTCTGACCTCACCCACCTTTAGGGATGGCAGCTGAACCTTGCCTGCATTCCCTCAGCCCTGGGCTTTGCTGCAGGCCTCTTCTCACCCTGAGCCTTTGACAATCCTCACCATTTCCTGACGTGTGTCACTTCTAAAGTCGAGACTTCTTTCGTCTGGATGGGTTTTGGGTTTTGTATTTTTTTTTTTTTTTTGGTTCTTGCTGGGGCAGATCCGTCTCTGCTGCCGTGGGTTTTACAGAGGTTGGTGCAAAAGGAAACGAGTGAGTCACCCCCAGGACTTGTCAGCAGGCAGGGAGGGAGCTGGGAGGGAGCTGGGAGGCAGCTCCGGGGGTGGAACAGGGTGGAACAGTGAAATTTTTTGACCTCACCCCTCTCCAGGCACGTGTCACTCTGAGCAAGCTTCCTTCAGAGAGTGTCCAAGGATCTCATCCAAGAATGTTCATTCCAGAGGTTCCTTTCTCTGTGTGCTGGGAGAGGATGTTTTAGAAAAGATGGTTCTTGCTGGAAAGGGTGGTTCTTTTGCTTCTTTCCAATGTGTGTTTCCACTGTTTTAGGGGCTCGTTTTGGAGGTCTCTGAACTCTTTGACTTGAAAAGCACCTCGTGCTCCAGGTGAATTTTGGCAGTGTAGGGATGGGGTGTGGGTCACTTGTAGGGCAGTGCAGGAAGGGGAAGTGGAACCCAACGTGGGCAGAGGGTCAGGAAAAGCCTGGCTGGGCTGCAGTGGTGTCAGGATGGCAGTTTTTATGGGATCCAGCTCCTGATTCCACGGGTGTCAATGCAGGACACAAGAATGAGGTTTTATAGAAGAGGAAAATTCAGCAGCTCGTGACCTGACTTTGATAACGTTGAATGTGGAATCCCATTTACAGGAACAGAATTATTTGAGATGCTTTGAAAAATCCTGGCCTTCAAAACACCAAACTATTCCTTTAGCTCTGAGTGACAAATTAGCAGGCTCTGCTGTGCATCCTGTGCACTGGGCTATTTTGAAAGGGGATCCCAGTGACCTTTCCAGGGGTATCCGTGTTTTGCAATCCCTGGAAGCCGCAGCTGTTCCGAGCTGTCTCTTCTCTCTGCTGTGTTTTGAAGGAGGTGGTGGAACTGGGAATTCCTCACGATGTCATTCCTTGTTTTCCATTAGACCCCGGGCTGTGTAGGCTCAGCACAGAGCAGAGTGGAGTCTCTAATTTAGGAGTCAAAGCAGAACAGCCACTGGAGATGAGGAGGTGTTGGCTTTTTGCTCACAGCAATCCCAAGTGGAGCTTCTGTCAAGTCAGGGACTCGTGTCACTGCTCTCTCTTTAATTAGTTATTACCCCAATTTATTTATGCTGGTTAATAGGACTTGCCCCTCGCTTGTGCTTTCAGCATCTTCTTGCACATTCATGGGATTTTGAAGGACATTCCCCTCAGAGGCTCCCTCTGGCTGGGTGGTGTGAGGGGAGCTCAGTGCCTGTAGGAGCTCTCTGTGTGTTCAGTTATAACTCCAATGAATCCCTGCAGTGAATCCATCAGTGGGTGCACAGGCTGTCCCAGCTCCCTCTACCTGGTTGCACAGATAAACATCTTGACTGATGACTGTTCCCTGATAACCAGCACCATCAGGAGCTCACTCCCAGGCATATCCAGTTCTTTTCAGCTCCGTGGATGTTTATGGCTTGGCTGTCTCTGCTTTCCCTCCTCCCCTGGCTCCTGATGGAGCTGTTGCTGTGGAGTGTTGGGTATCCCTCCTCCCTTGCCAGGCCAGCCCCATAAAACATGTTGTAATTTTTTGGTTGCTCTCCATGTGCTATCTCACTTTCTGAGTATAAAAAGTTGGAGGTTAATTGGCTGAAAAAAAAAATTATTCCTTGTTTTCTGCTGTCCACAGGCCTGGTTACAGTTTATTTTCACTCTTGGGGTTGTGAAGTGCAAATTTCCTTGATAACACAGGGAGGGAGAAATTTTAAACTTATTTACTTGGGGAGATCAGAAGTTGTAGACAATGGAGTTTTAATTTAATTAATTAGGAGCCTGGTTTTTCTTTTTAAACCTTAGCAGTTGGAAATCATGGGAGGAAGGAAGGGATCTATGTCAGGAACCAAACCTGTAAAATTAGAGTTGTGTGCTGCATAAACTTCTTATCCTTCTGGAAATAGTTTTTCAGCCTTAAATACGGTGCTTTACATTTTTAATCACTCCTCAGCTATTAGCTAATTAAATGCTTCAGGAATATTCCTTTGGGGAAGGTAGGATGGTGTCATCCCTGCTCTGCAGAGGAGCTGAGCTTGGCCAAGGTCACCACAAGCAGCTGCAGATCCAAGAGGAGAACTGGGATGGGCTGACTTCCATCCTTCCCTTATGGATCATGTCATCTCCACGTGTCCTTTCTTAATGACTTGGTAAATTGTTTGTTCAACAGGCTTTTAAAACAACTGGGTTGAAATTCCCTCTTTGGTTTGCTGGAGGGAGGGGAGGTGTATCCAAAATGACCTGACACAACTCACCAACAGCACTGGGTGAGGCTCCTCCAACCAAAGTCTTGGTGCTGAGAAGAAAAATGTTTAAAGGATTTGTTTAAATGTGACTTAACAGCTCCTCCCCTCAGCACAGTGTGCTTGGGAATGCTGGAAGCCTCTGGATCCGTGTTTTGATCTCCTGTGCCAAGATGCTGACCACAGTTCTTATTTAGATGACCTTTTTAGGTCCTCAAAAAACTAGTTTTGAAGCTGTTCTGTAACCTAAGTCTGCAGCTCTGGACATGGCTGGGGTGTATGTTCAAATGGAGGGAAAACAGGGCAATATTTGCCTGGGAAAAAAAGGACTTTCTTGACTTTTGGACACAAGTGGCTGCTGTGGCTGTTCCTGGTCCATCGTGGCTCCAACAAACCCTCTGAGATTCTGGGATGTAAATGAGAGACTTGTGACAAATGTGCAAGAATTGGCAAGTGGGAGGATTTGAGTCTGATGTGTTTAGATGGGACTCTTCCATCTGGGGTGAGACTTAATCCTGTAGGCATTACACTGATAAAATATTCCAGGATTCATTTTTGAAATTTGTATTTCAGTCACTCAGAGCAAGAGCTGCGTTAAGGTCGGGGGAGGTGATTGAAAACATCTTTGTTCTTGCCTCTGGCAACCTAATTAATATATTTTTTGGCACCGAAAGCTGTACTTTAAGGAAATAATTGCTGTTCTTTGGGTGATTTTTGACTTCATGTCAGCGAGAAAGGTAATTTCGTAGCACTTAATTTGCCT